GTTTCCTTTTGCCGTCGTCTAGTTTTTGTGTGTTTCTTCTTTTGATTCGTTTCATTATTTGCTTCGTTTTTGCGTGCTGGCCGCGTTTTGTATAGGAAACTCGATAATTTCCACCAATTTCCTTTCACTTTACCACTTTATCGGTGAGCGTGTGTTTGTATGTATCTACGTGTGTGTTTTTCTATACGTTTATGTGTTAGTGAGTGGAGTATGCGTGTCGATGCGAAGCTCATAAAACTCTCTGTGTGTGTCGTTGTCGTCGGAACGGGGGCAATGAGTATGTTAATTTTCGTTTAAAGGTGAGAACGCAGGTGAGAAACAATTTTGGGGCGTGGCACACATACACACACACATGGTTTGCTAGTTTCTCTGTTCGTGTGTAAGTCGTATGGATTTGAATAAGTACATACATGGGTTAAACGTGAGCCTCAAACACTTGACAATTATAGTTTTTCTGTACACCATACAAATATTTTCGTTGGCTGAATATTGTATGCATAAAATATTACATTTTATGCTAGTCCTCGTCATAAAGGGATGGGCGGAAATGCACTCACAAATAGGCGCTAATGGCATCGAAAATCGTTCCACTGACGGTGAGGGAACCCTTAAGAAATCTATTAAATTCTCGTCAGTTGAAATGAAATGCCTATTCTAAGAGTTTAAAACGAGAGGAAGGATTCTGCAGATATATGGGCAACCTTCTTGGATAAAGAGGGTATTCTTTTGGTTAATCATATCCTCCTTATGGGATTCTGCTAACTGTAAATGTCAGTACCCATAGATTACATTTCACATTTGCAGCTTTTGCATGTAATTTTCTTCATAAGAAAATTTATTTGCCCCACATTTCTGTGGTGTTTTTTTTTTTTCTTAGGAAATGCCTGCAATATTCATTGACCTATAAGAAAATCATTGATTTGCGAATGAAAATTCTTGATAAATGTTTACTGCATTTCTTGGGGTTACGTCGACGGCATTCACATATTTATTGCACTCTTCAATGCGTTGATGGCATTTATTGCCTTGTAAGTTTTGTCTTTTCAGGGATTTTCTTTCCTTTTGATTGCCGTTCAAGCTATCATACTATTTAGATTTGTTCTGTTGCACACAAAACATTATTTCCGTCCATTTTTTTTTTTATTTTATAAATTAAAATATTTATTAGGAAAACTTTTAATTAAAGTTCCACAAAGCTGTAATATATCAAATGCTTTCGTAGGTATTTGAATGTAGTTCCATGAGTTTTACATACATCAACTTTTTAGTGAAAGGGGAGAGTTTTTTAATTGAGGGAAAAGTATCCTAAAAGCCAAAAACGATTTCAGTTAATCTTCTGGCAAGTGCCTCCGTTTTCTCCCACACCCACTCCGACTCCCATTTTGCTCTCCGCTCTTCTTTTTTCTGTCGTTTTTTGTAACTGTGCCGCTTGTGCCGCCCTCCAACTTAATTAAGAAATCCAATTAGCATCATTGACATTAGATGTCCTAGAAATATGCGCAATTTGTTTTGTTTCGTTTCGCCTCGGTCTGCCGCTCCATTGTGGCATGCAGCCACATGGCCCACGGCACAGACACAGACCGCCGCCAACACAGCCGACACGCATCTGCCGAAAAATAGATTTTCCTTTTTGCATATGTAGACAGGACGGACTTCCCCTCCCCCTCCCCCTCTCTCTCTCTCTCTCTATCTCTCTCCCTTTCTCTCTGGGGGCATGTCGCCCCATCAACCCCCTTCACTGGCACACACCCACACTCCACACCCTTTACTGCTGACAAGTAGGCGTTGATGTTGCTGTTGACGTTGGTCTCGTGTGTTCGCCCCCAAACCGCCAGCCCGACCCGCACACTCCCTTCCCTTCGCTTCCACTCCTCACTTTCCGGCGTTGCGTGTGGCCCCAAAAATTGTGCGTGTGTGGACTCCGGGGGAATGGTGAGAGCAGGGGAGAATGAAAGGCCACGCAACGAGCAAACAATAACAAACAATTGGGACTCCCTCTCGAGCTCCCCTCTCGATTCTCTCTCGCTCTCTTTATCCTTCTGGCTGTTTCGCTTCTTCACTGATTTGTGGCCCTGAAAAGTATGCTATAATTTTGTGCTTCTCATCATTTCTGCTTGTTTTTTCTGCATCGCCTGCTCTTAGATAATGTTTTCACTCATTTTTTTTGATTGCAAATCAATATGAAATAAGTAACAAAACTCTACCACAAGGAAGCTCTCATTTTGTCGGCGACTCTACGCTTTATTGCTTGTTTTTGTGTCCCTTGAGACTCTCTCTCTCCCAGCGTAACTCAGCAGTACTTTTCCTAATGATTATTGACAACATTTGAAGGGGTATAAGTTTTTCTTTTCGCCTTCAGTACTTCCGGAGACTCCTTATCTCCCTCTATCTCTACATCCATGTTTTCGTTTGTATCTCTCAACCTGAAAAATACATGTTTTACTTATATCGCATGAAGCCAAATGTATATTTTGGCCACCAAAATACTCTGTTTCAAATCATTTAAGACACTGTTTCAGCGACTTCTTAGGCGACTTTAAAGGAATCTTTTGCCCAATCTCTGAATCTGTTTGCCCCAAAAAGTATGCTATGCTTTTGGGAGCTCTCATCATTTCGTGTTTTTATTCCATGTGTGTGATTGCATTTCAATGGCTGAGAAATGGTTGGGGAAATGCACCCAAGGGAAGGCTTATCCACACTTATCCCCCCTCAACCGCTCCCGAAGCTTAATGAATTTGTCAATTTATGCACATGATCGCTTCGGTGTTGAGCTAACAAACCGCCGGAAATCCCCTGTCAAGTCGTCAGTCGGCATCAGCATCATCCCCACTCATCGGGCTTACAAACAGTTACAAACTACAGACAGGAGCAGAGAAATGGAGGAGCGGAGCGGAGCAGAGCAGGAGTCACGTTCAAGCAAATCTACTTAGCATAAACCAATTCACCCACACAGAGAGACAGCACACACGCATACAGATACAGACACAGATACAGAGAGGGACAAATAGAGAGACTGACACACAGAGAAATGCTGGATGAAAGCATTTATTACAGGGGAGTGGCACAGGCCAACGGTGGCCCAAGGAAATGTCAACTGACAAACAGCGAAAGCCAAAACTGATTATGGCTTCCCCTTCGAGACAGAAACAGAGAGGGGGACATTCATTGAGAGACAGGCAACACAATCTGCACTTGCAAATGAACAGAAAGATACACATGTGTGAGTCTGTACACTCGGAGAAATCGGGATACTCCAAGTGTCCATTTCTGAAGCGGTGGATACCTTACCTACCTTCCACCATCTGAAACAACATCATTCTGTGGCAAAATCTTAGAGAAATATCTCGTCTACCCCATCGCAGAATCCCTTCCTCTCCCAGTGTGGCTTTGCGGCAAAGTGTGGGCTTTCAGCTCTCTCTCGGTAAGACCATCACTATGCAAAAAAAAACCCGAAGTATTTCCATTTGTGTATCTTTCTCTTGAAGTGCACTGCCCTTCCAGCAGCAGCCAAAGTAAATTTGCTCCCGCAACTAAATGAGAAATAAAGTTTAATTTGTAAAAAACAAAATAGAGAAATTGCTGGAAAGAACAACAATGAAAATTAAAATACAAAAACACCAGCGACAGAAGATGGGTATCGTGACGGGCGGGGAACCCCAGCCGAAGTGAAGAAAAAAAAATTTAAGCCCCTGCTCTGGCGCCCAGTCACGTAGTAGTCGGTGCTGCTGCTCCTATGATGTGCCGAAAGGGGGTGGCGCTGGAGCTGGAGGATTGAGCTGCTCTTTATAAACAAATATTTGGATTTAGCAACGAGTCCTAGTTGGCGCAGTACTGCGAGGACGAGTCCTAGGAGGGGACGCGTATGAAAAGCAATGAAAAAGTAAGGAAAGCAAAAAAAAATGGTATTTCCAGGCGGAATTTTAGGCAGTCTCTATGTCTGTCTTCTCTCTAGTTTACGACTTTTACTACTTTCACCCTCCCACTCTCTCTGTCCCTCTCTCTCGTTCTCTCTTGGCGCCCATTCCTACAGCTTATGCAAAACCGCACCCATATTGGAAGGCAAAAGTGGGGAAAAGTGGAAAAGGGGATTACTTATCTTTTAGTTTTCATTTAAATATGAAGACCAAAATTGTACACACACGCAGTTCGGTGTCTTGCCTACTCTCTCGCACCTTTTCACTGGCTTTCTGTCTCTCTCTTTCTTTTTTCACTGATTTTATTTAGCTTTTACTTTGGCCTGCCATCATAGATAAAGGGGGCTGTGGTAGTGGGACTCTAGTTTTATTTTCACGCAAAAATTCTTCCTTTTTTCAATTGAGAAAGAGATGGAGATAGAGTGAGAGAGCGGATAGTGGATTTTGCTGTTATTTTCAGTTTCGCTTACCATTTTTGTTCCTTGAATTTTTTTTCGCTGTTTTGGTTCGACAAAAATAATTGGATTTACACCCAAAACCAAGAATCAAGATGAAACCAGAGAAAGTCCACACACAGAAGCACAGAGAAGGAGTGAGAGCGAGAGGGAGATGTCGTCATTCGGTTGAAAGAATGCGGAAAAACACAGCAGGGAAAAGGGCCAAAAACCACCAAATTGAAGATATTCATAAGTGAAATTTTGTAATTCAACTGGAAAATTGGGGGAAAGAAAAAGAGAAAGCGGGAAAAAGTATTCGAGAAGATGGGAGGAAAATAAACTTCTTGTGAAACTTCTCATACCCTTAAAGGTAATCCTTTATTGGATTTGCGTTTAAGCTTGAGAGAAGAGTTCTTCTGAAAGCATCCCACGTTCTGTAGTGCCCAAAAGATCTAGTCCACAATGGTAATGTAAACTATCTGTATATATGTTTGTGTCTATATAATTTGCCATCTATGTAGATCCTGCACACCGATGCTAATCGCACCCACAGATTACGAGATACCCAGAATCCAAAACACAAATCATATTTATAGTAATATTCAGATATTATGAGCTTAATTATAATTAAATTGAACCAATTTTTTAGCTCCGCAAACCGGCGTCGACACTCTCAATTCCTGGCTCGATGAAAACACCTTCCATTGCGAACCGGGAACAGATCTCATCTGGATGCAACGAAGAAGCGGCCGAGGCACTAGTGGGTATCCACTCAGACTACCCTAGGTATGAAATGTATGTATAGCCCGATCCAGAAACCCCATCGCAGATCCTAGAGTACCTAGAGTATGTATACACCTATAAGCCTGCACTCATAATCAAAAACCCAACCCATCCACCATCCACAATCCTCGACGAACGCTAGATCGACGCTAGAGGTCTGCATGGCTACAAGCTGAATGAGCCCACACATTCATTCATTCATTCGCATTCATTTTAAAAAGTACAGGGGGATTATGATGAATACATTCATGCAGACCGAAACAAAAAAAGCCGAATCTCCCAAAGAGATAAAGCCAAATGCTACTGAATGCTTGACCCTCAACGGATTAAAATTCAAAATATTTTACATTGAAGATATAAGTACCGATACGGACACAGAATAAAAAGGTATATGAAAAAGGTATATGAAAAATACACATGATTCTTATATATTCTTACGGTCTCCATATCTTTCGCGTGTTCCTGTCGTAGATGAATTCTGTCTTAAACGTGATTCGAACCCGTTTCGAACGATCATGTACCGTGTCGCTATTCCCTCAAAGGTCGTGTACATTATCCGAACACTGATTACTCGCTGCAGCTAATCGTCTGTTACACACACGTTGGTATAGGTCTTCTCTTGTGTATACTTTTCCAAGTCAATAAGTACTTTGGTAGGGTCTCGAGGAAACGTTGGCTTCCGGGAGAGATAATAATAATCCCCTTGGCAAGGTTATTAAAAAGAAAAAGCGGACAGGAAAGGAGAAGTTTTAGCAGGAGAATTCCGTTTCAATTTTGAACACTCTAAAGTCAATTTCTCTTACGAATCCCCCCACTGTTCCGGCGTCCGGCGTCCGACGTCCACTGTTTCCCATAAATCTCTATGAATGTCGTGGACGGAAAGATATTTTCCCAAGCAATCACGTTGGCAATTTGGCACAGTTCAGCAGTTTATAGAGAGACAAATGGTGGCAGGAGAGGGGAGAATGGATAGCAGGAGGCCGACTATGGCGGACTATGGCAATGGCTATGGGATTCGAGAACGAGGACAGCCTCCACTGTCCACCCCTGTGCCATCTCATACTCTTGGCCACCGTGCTTCTGTTTATCTGTGTGTGTGCGTTTTCATTTGTCAGCAAAATTTTTATTGGCCATCTTTTGCTCATCCATATGTACGAGAACGAGTATGATTACGAGTATGTGCTTACGTGTGCCACTGTGCCCGTGTGTGTCAGTGTATCCATAAGATACAAATTGATATGACACATTTAGAAAAGAGCCTGAGCCGGAGCCCCAGCGGTAGCCATAGCCATAGCCACAGTTGGAGCCACAGCCACAGCGAAAACACACAAATCTGTCATTCAGAATAGCATTCAGGATTTATTGAGGTGCAGACCAGAGTTCCAGCGGTGCGCATTTCGATTGAGTTGGGTTGACTTGGCCCCCACCCCTCCAGGCCTCTAGCCGGTCACCCGGTCACAGCGCCTCCTCCTCCCATATACAAGGATATCTCCCAACAAAGTGGTCCGTGGAGCGAGCCACTTAAGCATTAGTCAGCGATCTGTGGGGTTCAGGCATATGCAAATGCCACTCGAACATCAATTCAGCGTACGAGATGTAAGGATTCATTAGGATGTTAAGACGTAGCCTTGGCAACTGGTTGGAATGGAGAAATGGAACACGATAAAGGCGGCTAAAGTGGCAAGGGAACAATTAAAGGATGTAGAACGGAATGGAATAATATTGAAGATGGACTTTATGGTGCTTTTGAGGAGACAGGAGGAGGCAATCAGAATGAGATAAAGTGAAATGTGTTGGAATACAGGAAGCAATCAGATAGCAATGGACTGCCAATGGACTCACGTCGTCGTTGAATGGACTATCCATAACATCTCCTATAAGTATCCCTAGAAAACCATCAATCGCTAGACCTATAGAAGAAAAGGGAAGGCTGAATATCATTAGTTCTTTGTGGAAACACCTTACGTATAGTCCCCTAATAGTCCTAGCAATCGATCTATTGATAGTCGAATGAATGAATAAATGGATGGGAGTGGGGGTTGGCGAGTGTGCGCTTATATATTGGAGACTGGAACACAGAACTCATGGCACTTTTCCCACCCGATTTGCATTCATAGGTATATGGAAGAACGTGCTCTTACTGGCGGCAATACGTCCAGGAAGCCATCAACAAACTCGGCCAAACACAAACCCAATGTGGGCTATCGCCTGGGCAAGAGGAAAGCCCTCTTTGAGAAGCGCAAGCGCATCAGTGACTATGCCCTGGTGATGGGCATGTTCGGCATCATCGTGATGGTGATTGAGAACGAGCTGAGCAGTGCCGGTGTCTACACAAAGGTAACTAGAAACCAGATACTGTCCGATGATCATCCCACCACAAAATATCACAAATATATAATTTTATTTTCTTTTTCTTGGTTTGTTTGTCTTTGCAGGCATCGTTCTACTCGACAGCGTTAAAAACCTTAATATCTGTTTCGACTGTGATTCTTTTAGGACTTATAGTAGCTTACCATGCTTTGGAAGTGCAGGTGAGAGTGAGTGAAACATTGTATTATCTTTTCCAGATGTTATTTGATGTGTTCTTGCTGATGGTCGTCGTCATCGTTAACTGTTTTTAACGTTGCCGTGCCGTCACTCTCGCTCTCACTGTCACTGTCATCTCTATATATAACCGATACCCGGAATCCGCCCGCCTCCATACCATGCTGTTCCCCAGCCCCGCTCCATTCCAATGTTTCCCGTTCCTACTGTCTCACCATCTCATCTTGGTTTCGTTTGTTTGTTCGCTTGTTCGTTCGTTTGTTTGTTTGTTCGATTGTTTGTTTGCTGTTTTCAAACATTTTCTCGTCTCTGGTTTTTGATTTCCGTTTCCCCCTGTTTCCCCCCGTTTCCGTTTCCCGCTGCCCGTTTCCCATTTGTGTGTTACCTTTCCCTCCTCCCGCATATTTTGGGCAAGTGAATGGGCGAGAGCGAGAGAGAGATATTTACTCCTGCATGCATGTACCGTTAGAGAACATCCAGAAGAGAAGTGGAGTGCGAGTGAGAGAGAGCGCTAGTGCGAGTGCGAGTGCGAGAGTGAGAGAAGAGTGAGAAGAACGAGTGAGAAAGAAAACTGCGTTTCCGTTTCCGTTTACCCATTTTTAACATCTTCCACACACACAACCCGTCCACAACCCCCTCTCAATCTCTCACCCCCAGCCTACAACCCCACACTCTTTCTTTTAATTCCCCTCCTTCAACCCACCCGCCAAAAAATTTCGTTTATCTCTCGCTTCATTATATCATTTCGCTGGCCATCTTTCAATCATATTCGGACTTCCTTTTGTTTTCGAGAATCCCCACACCTTACCCCCTTCCTGTCGCCCGTTCCATTGTTTCGCTCAGCGAACAACCAACCACCCACCCGGCACCTCATTCCAACGCCAGAAACCAGAAGATCCGCGCAGGAAGCAGAAACATTGTACATACAGTTAACCATTATTCATTCACAAAACAAACAAAAATCACCTTAACCACCACACCACTCTTTTCACCACAGTTCCACAATTTCCTTCTTCTTTTTTGGTCCACCCATGCGCTTTAATCTTTAATATTTAATCTATCGATTATCGAGTACCAGCGAAATCGAATTCCAAGCTAAGTCGAATGAAATTTTAAACTCAATTTCTCGTATGTTTTCCTGTGGTCCGATCTATAGTAGGGGCTTTTGGGAACGTTTCCTTCAATTGAGAAATATCTCTGATATAAAATCCAAAGCGTTAATCAAATCGATACTTGATCGCGATTATTGTCCGGCATTAAATGTTCCGTTCCGTTCCGTTAACATAGCGTTCCATTTCATTCGTTTCGTTTTGCGATCGATACAAAAAACTTTTGGCCCCAGCATATTACAGCATTCCATTCAAAAATCGTTCGTTCTCGTACTCGTTTACCTCCAATATGCGCTTCCAGTACCAGTTGCATGTACAGCACCATAATTTGTTTCATTTTTGGTCTTAAAACTATGATAACCAATGATGATATATGATCATATCTATATATATATATTTATATATATATATACTATATATACTCATAATATAAACAATTTCCACTTCTACTTCCTCTTGTTCTAATTAATTAATTACTTATTGGTTTTGTGTTACATTTTTCTCGTTTCGTTCAAAAACTAACTAACCGCAAAAAAACAAAAACAATTAACAAATACATATAAAAACCAAAAACCAATCAATTTTATTCTAGAAATTTGTTAACAATTAAATATCTAGCGTAGCATGAGTTAATTATCAACATATGCATATATTATTCTATATATAATTCCCCTACCGATTTGTCCTCAATCTGAATGAAATCTCACATGAATATTGTAGAAATCGGTATGGGAATTCTTTGTTCTTCCTTGTTGGAATCTAGTTGAAATTTTTCGTAGAAAGCATGGGAGCATATACAAATTTGGCTAGTACGTAACTCTGTTGACTATCTCTGAACATGAACCGAAACATAAATATATATATATATATACTTATATACTTACTACAACTACAACAATTATTATCTACTAGCATACATACAGTACTACCGATAAAGACTCAATGAGATCTCAATGAGAGCCGAAGAGAAGTGGAAGAAGATAACCCTCTAAGCATTTGTTAGCTTGTGTTGGAATCGAATTCTAAAAAATTGTGAAAATAAAAAATGAAAAAATGGAAAATTATAAATAAAATCGGAATAACTGTGACTCTCTGTGGGGGCAAAGTCCTGTGTTCAGTTATCGAATTGGATTGGTAATTGATGTCGATATCGATATCTACACATGCATATCGCTATCGGTAGTCCGAAAATCAATCTCGCAATCGAATCGAAATCGAATCAGCAAAATCAAAACAAAAACAAAAAACCAACAAAACTCAACAACAACAACCTCAACAACTCTCACAACGCATCCAACCATTTCCATGTCCATGATTCAATCAATCAAAAGTCAGGTCATTCGAATCAATTGTTCAATCATCGATCAACGATCAGTTTGTCAGTCAATCAGTCAATCAACCTACCAACCAACCAACCAGTCAGTCAATTAGTTAATATATATATACTCTCAATTTATATATACAAAAAAAACCAAGAAAACCCACCCCCCCCCCCCGCCCAATCTCATAATTCGTATTCTTCACACAATTTGTTCTCTCTCTCTACAAAAATATATAACTCCGATTAAATGTTTATATATATAAACCCTCCTTAAAAAATTTTTGTTGATGTTTACAAGTAAAAATTTAATATGTAATTACCTTCCATTATGCTTTGCAGAATTCAGTAAGTAATACTTATTATAATATCTACCATACATACTTCAATATTTGTGAGTAAATCCAAACAAACAAAATACCAAAAAAATACCAAAAAAAACAATTACCATGCATAGTGTAATGTACCATATACGGAAGCAACCAAATACCAAAAACCAAACAGAACATATGCCTAGAGTAGCAACAAAAACCATAGATCGTACTTAGAGCAGACGTACTCGTATATATGTATATCTATCTGTATATATGTATGCATATGTATCTCTCTGTGGACGTGTACGTGTACGTGTACGTGTACGTACGAGTAGTGCCAAACGGAAGACAAAAGCAAGCGGCTGCTAAATCGATGTTTAGTTGAAATCGCGTAACAAAAAATCGTTTGTATAGTGTACAGTGTACAGTGTATATAAAATACTTACTCAAGACTCTACTCAATTTTTGATTTCAATTTTTATGTTACGTTTCCCCGTCAAATACTATAAGCCACAACAGCTACAGCTACAGATACAGATACAGCAACCGAAACAGATACAGATACAGATAATACAACAAACACGCTGTTCAAGGCAAATGCTTGGCTGATATGAACAAATTGTGGCTTAAATTGCACCCCTGAAACTCACTCAACCACCGAACCACCGTCTCTCGCAACAACCTCTCCCGTTGGCATTGTGTGAAGCCCCAGAGTGCTGCACACATGCAGGCCGATTGGTTAGCCTTAGGCAGGGACTCTTTCTATATAATTTGAACATTTCAAATACTCATTATTTATGGAGCAATTATCGAACGCATTTTTAATTTCGAATCCGTCTAGAATGAATTTATAAATTGAATTTTTGTTCGGTTTCTTCTTGCGGATTTTGTTTTTGTCTTTCGCGGAATTCAAAAGATAAAACTTGATTCCACAAAGTCATTTCAGTTTAATGTGTTTCTAGTTCCTGTTTTCTGTTTAACCAATCGGTTTGCATACATAATCCCACAATGCATACAACATACCAACATAGCAGCATACCAAACACATACATACATACATATGAGCATTCCCATTGCTAAGTCGATACGATACTGAATTTTGCAATCAATCCAATCCAATCGATATGTGTATCTATCAAGCATCAATCCCCAATTCCATTCATCACCCAAAGTTTGAGAAGCTTGGAAGAAGATTTCAACACAGGACTTTGTGACTATTTTGCCGTGTTGAAGTGTTGTTTAGACCTAGTGGAGCTCTAGGATAGCAGCAGATCGATGGGCGATGACCGTGAACTCGACTATCGATTCGATTCAATTCTATCAATTGCCGTGTGTCCGAGTATCCGAGTATCTGAGTATCCGCGTATCCAATCAGTCGGCTTAACTTGCGAATGCTTCATATGCAATCAGAATACAATAACCACACACCAATTATAACTCGAACTCAAAATCAAAATGCACTGACTGTTGTGCCACTGATAGACATAGATGTTGTACATTCGATTTTAATCTACTATACTCGTTCATACATACGTACATATATATATATATATATATATATATATATATGTATGTATTGTATAGCTGTGTAATTGAGCTCTGTGTTGTCCCAACTGCACTGCTCCTGCTCGTGTCTCGAATACTTACCTATAATGAGAGTGAGTCCTTGAAGGAGTACTCGTACTCGTACATGGCAATCAGGAAGCGTCCCTGGCCCTGGCCCTGGCCCTTGCCCTTGGTAGCGGCCCCTTGTGTTGAGTCTTTAGGAAATGATTGGGTTCCGATACCAATTTGATTTGATAGCGAAAATCAAAACAGAAATATACGAAACCAAATCCAAATCGAAATCGAAAGCGAAATCGTAATGAAAATGAAATGAAAAGGTAAAACAGAAAAGAAAAAGAAAAAAAACAAAATAAATAAATAAAGAGAAAATCAAGAATGATATCGAGTGAAATGTGCTAATTACACGTGAACACGCACGCTGCTTTCTAGTAAGTACTTGCATCTTACACATAGACACACACATTTACCCCGCCCCCCCCCACACACACACACACACACACACAACTAGATACAAAAAATATGGATAAAAGCAATGCCTGGATATGCCGCACACATGAGAGACATGGAATCACGGAATTTCGGAATTTCGGAGAAGCTTCTTACAACCGCTTACAAAACTTGAACTTGACTCAGGGTTTTGCTTCCCAGCTACGTACAACCACAACTGCACCAGTAACACCACCACCAATACCAGCACCACCACCACGACACCTACCATTGACCCACACACACACTCAGATGCACCACACACCCACACACCACACACCACTCAACACACACACACCTCATGGACGTTGTACTTGTCAAATAATTCATGCTCGTATATTTGAGTGTAATTCATTTTGTTTAGTCGCAAAAAAACTATCGAACCGAATCAATAAATCTCCAATTATAATTAATAAATCATATACTTGTTCTCTTTTCTTTCTCGTCCTTCTTGTTTCTCTCCATATCTGTACTTTTTGCCTTCGGTTCGTTTCGGCGCACACCATGATAATAATGACTATATATGCGATACGAAATGCAATCCAAAATGCACTCCAATCTAAATGAATTACATACAAAACCCAATCGAATCGAATCGAATCGAATCGAATCGAATCATATCAAATCGCAAATGACTCGCGAATAAAATTGCCATCGGTCTCAGTTATTCATGATAGATAACTGCGCCGACGATTGGAGGATCGCAATGACATGGCAACGAATTAGTCAAATAGGGTTAGAACTTTTTATATGCGCTATACATCCAATTCCTGGCGAATACTATTTCCAGTGGACGACGAAATTGGCCAATAAGAATAAAACAATTGGCACCGAAATGGTGCCATATGACGTAGCTTTATCATTACCTATGTTCCTTCGATTATATTTAATATGCCGCGTAATGCTGCTGCATTCAAAGCTATTCACAGACGCATCATCACGGAGCATCGGCGCTCTCAATAGGATTAACTTTAACACAAGGTATGTCACAGACACCCCCACAACCCCATCCAACCCATCCACCCCTGCACGTTGGTATGTACAATGTACATACATACATAAGTCTATTCAATTATTCAATCGACCTCGTCGAGTATATACTCGCTGGTCGCTAATGGAAAATACTGTAAAGTAGGAATGAGCACACAATAAAAAAGTTAAACAAAATGACTGTAACACTGCGGAATTAAATATCTGGGCCAAAGGAAGATTAACCATTTCATTATGTGTAGTTTCTCCAAAGTTACTCTTCGTTAGACGTTCCTTAGACACCATCAGTCGTAGCCAATAGTCACAGAAAATGATCAATATCCGTACAACAATATACAAGGATGCGAGCACTTATTTATCTAAAGCTATACTCCATGTCCGCTTGCTTTCTAACTCGTTGAGCACCTGTCTCTCAGCTGGTATTCTATTTGTCTGTTCAATTATCTCCAGCCTCCGTCCATCCAACTGTCTGTTAACCTTTCCGTCCGTTTGTTCGTCTGACCTTCACTGTGTGTGTGTCCGTCCATCCGTCAGACAGTTCCATCCACCTGTTCATTTATCTGGCTGCCCCTCGCTCTGGCTGTCCACACATATCTGTGTGTGTGCTCTGGGGTCTAGCTGTCCATCCGTCTTTACGGCTTTGTCTGTTTTGAAATTAGGTCTCTAGCTCTGCCCTGTCTATCTGTCTGTCTGTCTGTCTGTCTGTCTGTCTGCCTGTACTTTGGTCTATGGATGGGTATATCTGCCCATCTGCCTGTCTGTCCATCACAATAAACGACTGGATCTCGCAGTGTCTTTAAAGCTCACGGGAACCCGAGTTGGGCAATCATACCAAATATATCAATGCAATTTAATATAAACTCTTTTTTGATGATCCTTCGACTCTTGTAGATTCGTTTTAAAAACTCTAATGACAATATGCCCGGGAACGGTTCTATTGGTCTTCATGGTCTCCCTGTGGATCATCGCTTCGTGGACGCTACGTCAATGCGAAAGGTAATGGTCATATTCTGTCTTTCTATACATATACATATATAAACCAAATATATATATACTTTATACATGATATGATATATATTTACTTGTTCTGAATTTGAATTTGATTTATTTTTTGTTATTTTGTATTTTATTTTGGATTGTATCTCAATTTTTGAGTTGAACTTTCGTTTTGATTTGTGATCTTAATGGTTGATTGGTTTTCGGTTTTCGGTGTTACGTTTTCTAAGTTTTTCCGTTTTCTTTTTCCTATCAAACGTTATCCGTAATCCGTAATCCGTTATCCGTTATCCATTATCTGTTCTCCGTTTTTGTGTTACTCTGAATACCATTTCCGTTTAACGTTCTGATTCAATGTGTTTGCCACTAATATTTTGACATAACTGTTATACGTATGTATTTAATATCGATGTATGTATGTACATAAATATATGTGCTAAGCATTGCGTAATGTCTTCTCCAAACAAAAAACAACTCAAAACAAACTCCAAACTCCAAAACTCAAACTCCAAACTCAAATCTCTTTCACAAGTTTTTTACTGTACAAAAATGTGTTTAAAGTTTAAAGTTTAAAGTTGAAGCAAGAACTATTCGTTGAACGTTGAACTTTTCGAATCGAATCAGTGAAATATTAACTCCCATTGTGGGGTAAGGGAGGAAGGGGATTTGGGGGACTTGAGCACAGCCCCAGCTTGCAACACAACCACACACAAACAGTACACGAGTGTATCCCCCAAATATTTTTTGCTTGTTTCATACATGATTCAGATATTACATGTACTCGTAGTCTCCCCCCCCCCCCCCCCCCACACACACATACACACACACACACACACACACAACACCAAAGACCAAACACCAAACACCAAACACTGTACCCCAAGAACCGAGTTCGAATGCGAATGCAACTCTGTAGCATCTGTTGTAACGGTATATACAATACAATCGAATCGAAATGCAATTGTCAGTGTCACGTAGCGACCAAACCAAATGGATAATGCTTGCATGCGTTTCAATTTATTTACATTTGGCATTCGAGTTCGCTTGTTTTTCCGCACTTCCACTTCCTCCTCCATTTGCCATTTGCCATTCACCACTTCCCCATCCTTCCGTCTGGCTGTGCCACCAATAGCAGCACCACCAGCACCACCACTACCATCACAACTGGCCACCAGGCCCCTTCCGAAAGTGATTCTCCCGAATGTTTTGTTATACCCTTGCACCAGAGGGTCAACTGAAATTTGTCCGGAGCCAAAGGCATGTCCCATTCTTGACAAGATTTAGATGCATTTTGGAACCAGCTTAAGCAGTGAACCTGGAACCCTGATTATATTCTGCACGGAATGGATTATTGTAGGAGCTTCTTTGGGAACTTCTGCTATGTTTCCTTTGAAAGATCTTGTCCTGTAATACTGTCATAAAATCATCATACATTTCAGCAATCATTTGCTTTGAAAGGGTATTCAAAAGCCTTTACGAAGGACGATGTTCCGTTAATTTGTTTTCTTGCTTGCACATATTTTTGCCAATTTCATCCACTCTCTCCCCGCATTTTTCTCTTTGTTATGTTGTGCGTGCCTGCAAAATTGACAGCATACAATTTATCGATACATTCATATACATATATGTGTACACTTTTGCACTTATCGCTTGGCGGATGGCGGATGGGGGTTGGGGGTTGGGGGTTGGGGTTGGACGCCGAAACAGAAGAACTGCGGAACAGAAACACAAACCAATAACAGACTGAGTAGAATTGCAGAATGCATCGGGTGGAGACCTCTTAGTAGTGTTGTGATTGTCATGCCTACATTAATATACTCCTAACCCACATTTGTACAGTTTGTCATTTGAAATTTTTACAATTTGTTTTCAAAATCTTTACATTTTGTTGTTCTTTATGTTTTTGTTGCGTGAATGAAAGTGTATGCGCGCTCGCTCTCTCTCTCTCTCTCTTTGATCTCTTTCTCTCTGCTCCTCTCTGCGTAGTTTTGACTTCTTTCTATTTGAAAATATTTAACAGCATTCCACTATTTCCCCGATCCTTTACCGGAACCCTTGCTCCACTCTCCACTCCCCCGTAATAATCCACGACGTAATAATGGCGCACACAGCTGTACTTTGTCTTTTTCTTTCTCTATGTCTCTCTTTCTCTCTCTCTCTCTCTCTCGATCTGCACTGCACTGGGATATGCCTTTGCATTTGTCCTGTACTATTTCCCATATTTCAAAACATCCAGTCTTTCGCTCTCTACATCGCTCTCTCACTCTCTTATTGATCTTTTTGTTGTTCTATTGAAATTCCTAACTTGTTTTCATTTCCTAATTTTATTGTGGATTTACGGTGCTCCTTATGTTTTGTGTACCTGCTCTTCAGTTCATGGGAGAAAACAATGAAAAACTAAGAAAAAACCAAAATAACAAAAAAAAAAAAAAAACAAATATAGATTCTTACATCGCATATTTATTTATTCAATTATTCGATTATTCGATTAAGCTTCAACTTGTGGATTGAACTGCGCCTGCATTTGCTGTAGATCATATCGTACTCGTATATGCGTATGCGTAACATGCGTATATACGATCTATACATACATACATATATTCGTGTATCCTTTATATAAAATGTAAGCCCATTCATTATACTTGGGACTTTCTCTATATGTTCATGTACATCATCAGGTACATCAGACATATACATACATATGTACATCAGATCAAGTTGTTGTTGCTGTTGTCGTTTGATGTCATACCATATTTGATGTACTCATGTACATGTCCCATACAACATATGTACAATGTGCATATGTGTGCGTGGAAATCGGGAAAGCAACTTCACAGCCACACAGAAAACAGAGACAGCTATAAACCATACAGAACAGAGACAGAAACAGAAACAGAAACAGAAACAGAAACGGAAACATATCAAAATACAGTTCAAACAGTTTCTCCCGCCTCTTCTTCCTGCTACTTTCTCTAAGCCTTCTTCAACTTCGACTTCTTCTACTTCTACCGCATATATGATAGATTCTTATACATTATTCAAATTCCTTCGATTTCTTTCGATTACCATTTTTTTTTTATAATTTTTTACGTTTGTTTGCTTTTGGCTTTCTGAACATTGATTTTTAAATGACAACAGCCCAAGAAAACATACATATGAACAACAATAAAAATACAACAAAAATTGGTAGCGAAATGAAAGAGAAGAGAATTTTCGAAATACACCTATCTTTATCTCCGCGTATACCACTTCCTTTTCCCATCCAAAAAATAACAAAAAACAAACAAACACAGACACATACATATATATACATATATGTATATATATATATCTATCTATGAATCCGATTTTGATCCTAAATATTTGAATCCGAATTGGCATTGCTTTCATCTTGTGTTTCTTTTTTGATTAGTTTCGTACAACATTCATATAATAGTCTCTATAAAATATCTCAATGTTTTGGTTCAACGTAGAAAATTTGGTAGTAATTCTTTAGTATCCTTTCCTTTTTTCGTATCCGAAGTCTTGAAGAGAGTCGTGTATTTTATTCAAGAATTATACAAAGTAAAACTTGTCGTCTATTTGCGTAAATTCTTATTTATTTCATTGTAAGTGGATATGTATGTATATCTGTGTATGTGATCCATCCATATATGTGTATGTATATGTGTATCCTTGCTATGTCCTGTGTGTATGTATGTACGTGCGTATTATCGGAGATCCTTAGCACCATACGCATGCATCCAGTCGGAATCCAGCGCGCGAGTCAGCATAGGGCAGCCAAATGGCAAAATCCAGGCATTCGAAAAGGATCCCACAGCAGTAAGGGATACACGATAACACACACAGGCAGAGAAAGCTTTTGGCATTCATATGATTTTTCACATTGCAAAAACACACGCCTCAGAAGCACCTCAGGTACGCGGTGCCAGCAGATAGTGGATGGCAGCCAGCGGAGTGATGGGGCCCCCAGGTGGGGAGTGCGGGGCAGACAGCTCTCCGATGGCCCTTTTCCAGTCATCCTGCATGTCATACAATATATACAGAGTAACCGTTCAAAGCCCTCATTTCCAATACCAAAAACTCCCCGCTTAACCGCTCACCAGACCCGCAAAAAAAAAAACAAAAAACAACAAGTCACATGCCCCAGCAGCAGCAGCAGGAAGAGGAGGAGGAGGAGAAGGAGGAAGAGATATTTGAGCCGATACGAAACTATACAAACTATAATTATTAAATATTATTCGTGTCATTGTATATTTCCAACTATTCGTATCCCCCAATCCCCCATGTCTTCCTTATATCTATCTCTATCAATCTATCTATCTTCTATGTTGCTCTTCAAATCTATTTGAGGATTTTTAATTCGTTTCCCAAAGAAAACAACAAACCGAAAGGAAAAAACAAAATTAATTTCCTTTAATTTTATTTCCTTTGTTTTACGTTTAATTACTGTCTTTCTTTCTTCTTGTTTCTTGTTTTATGTTCCTCTTGATTGTTTTTAATTATTCTGTTTTTTAATTTCCTTTGTACTTATGCGTATTCTTTAATACTTGGAAATTTTCTAAAAATAATCAAAACGAACAAAAAATACCAAAATTGTATTCTTTTAAAGCAAAACAAAAACAAAAAACAAACAAAAAAAAAAACAATTGAAAATTTAATCCAAAAAATGTTCACATAATTTCACATCTGTTTATTTGTTTACTCCACTTCTCACCCTACTTCTGTATCCACAAATTGCAAAATTACCAACCAACAACCAAAAAAATATATATTGAAATCGAATACCAACAAATACTGCAACAACTACCGAAAAAATACCGCAACCAAAACGCTTTACGCCTCTGAAATATCAAAAATATTTACTGAAAAACGTAAACCGATCACAAAATACTGCAAAATACCAAATAAATAAAAATAAAAAAACATACGTATCATAAATGAAAAACTTTAATTTGTTGCCCCCCATCAAACACCAATGTATTATAAAATATAAACAACTTATGATTGAAAACCGCAAACAATTACTAAAATATCGAACCAAAAAACAAAAAATACCACCGACATTCGACATATGTATTTGAAATACTTTCTGTACCATGCGGAAGGTTCCACGATGAGGAGCACGCGAATTTGCTAAACTCCATGTGGCTCACGGCCATCACATTTCTGTGTGTCGGCTACGGCGACATTGTGCCAAACACATACTGTGGACGCGGTATCACCCTCACCTGCGGCATGGTGGTAAGTATTTCCTACAAAAAGATCCCCAAAAAATACCCCAAAACTATCAAAAATACCCAAAAAAGTACCAAACAAAAAACTAGTCAAAAACTCCATTTATGATACCCTAACGAAAGAAAAAAAAAATAGAACAGAACAGAACAGTTGCAAAAAGGAAAAAACAAAAACAAACAATAAATAAATACCATAATAAGAAATACTATAAACAATAAACTACAACATAACTACTAGAAACAACAACTATTACTCTTACAACAAACAAACAACAAGAACATACATCATCATCATCAACAACAACAACAACAATAGCAACAGCAAAAGCAAAAGCCAAGAACCAATATGTGTTCACATATGTACATGTGTACAGTATGTATGTAATCGTATCGCATCTTTCCTTTTAAACATTTTTCCTCGAAGAGGAAGTGCCGCCTTTGAGGCGCCTACCGCCCCCAACTTCATGTAGCGAGGCTAAAAAAGAAAACAGACAGCTCGAATATATAGTATATATTATAGTAATTGTACCTGTCAAATCACGCATGCAGCGTCGTATGTGGGTGTGTACTCTGACCCGATCCGATCCGATCCAACCCAATCCGACGCCTGACCTGACCTGGCTTTTCTTCGGGCTGGTTTGAGTTCATACCACCACCACAGCTATTCGTCTCCCCCACCCGCCCACGCCCCAGCACACGCACACAATCACACACAGACAGAGAAAATACTATATACATGTGTATAAATTCAAATTCCTATATCAAAATCCATTTTGATGGGAGGCACTCGTGGTAGTACTCCTACACCCATGGCCATAACCATATATCCATCCGTACATATTGAGATGATGCCGTTCTGTCTGCCCAAATCGTCGCCAAAAAAGAGGGGGCGACTCGCCCTGTCTCTCTCTCTCTCTCTCTCTCTAATGCTCTGTGTGTGCTTGTGTCTGGTGGGGATTTCAGTTGTTTCTGTATTCTTTTTTTGCAGGGCAGTTCATTTCAGCGATAAATAAATATTAACATATCTACATACATGACATGACATGCATATATACATATCTACTACATGAATACATACATGATACATACATCTACATGAGTGTATGTATATCTACATGTGCATTTTACACTGTTGTAAATCATCACCAAAATCTCCACCCACTCCGTGTGTGAGTGTGAGTGTGTGTTTGAGTCGCTGTAATATAAGCATATGCATACATTATATAAGTGTAAATATATACATACATATATACACTCGAATATCTGTACATAAGAGCACACACATACGTTCACTTAACAGAGCAAAGAGCCACCCACCATTTATACTATATGTTTGTGTGTATTTGTCACTATTTCTGCTTTAAAGAGCGAAACTTTTATTTCCATTTCCGCCATTCCCCCCACTCTCCTTACGCAAGGAGGCAGGACAGAAACAAAAACAGGACTCCCTCTCTCTCTCTCCCTCTCTCTGTCTGTATCTTTTTGTTTGCTGAGACTGAAGCGGAACGACAGCAGAAATCCAACAAACAAATCTTTGTTGACAGCTCCGGCAAATTCTATTAATGTCTTCCAAGTGTATGCTTGTGGCGTGTGTATGAAACTGAATGTGTGAGTCTGTGTGCGCGCCTTCTTTTGTTGTTTGTTTTGTGCACCAAATCCTAGATGGTCCCACTACTACAATCGTTCGATCTACTTCCCCATCAACAGCAAATGACAACAGCAAACACACATCTGATCACAGATCACAGCTCTCACCTTTTGCTTGTACATCCAGAAGAACCACCACCTCCTCCACCCAGTGTGTACATACTATACTTCTTCCGCTATCCACCAAGAAAGACAACAAACGTTTGCGTCGCCTGTCCATAACCTCAAAACCAAAACCAACGTTCTTTTGACCACTACTGTACCTGTGTGCCTCGTCCATTTCTTCCACGTGTTCCACCTGTTTCCAATTCTGCAGAATGCCCGTTCCAACGTTCCATCCTTTTCAACTACTAACTTTGTTTGATTTTCTTTATGTTTTTGCGTTTTTTTTCCGTTGCTTTCATATATTTTCCGTTCCGTTTCTTTTTCGTGCTTTTGGTTATGATTTGATTTTTTTCTGTACGTATGTATGCCTTTCGTTCTGTTTGATGAATATGTATCTTGAATTTACTTGAGCCAAATTTATTTTCAACGAATTCTTAAAGTTTATTTGTACATTAAGCCAACAATACGATATTTTTCTCTATCTCTCTTTCCCTCTCATTTAAAATAAAAAAAAAAAAAACAAAACAAACGCGTCTATGCAATTTGACCCCCCTGAAACGAAACTTCAACTGATCACTGCGCTGTATATGCGAACCAAAAAAAAAAACCCATATACCATATGCCCTATGCCAATATTAAACAAATATATATACTTGTGTATATATTTACGACAAACCCGAAACCAAAATATATATATATATATTGTCGCGTACTCGTTTATGGAACAGATTTCATGATGAAGAACATGCGAATCTTTTGAATGCAATGTGGCTGATAGCAATAACATTTTTGAGTGTTGGTTTCGGTGATATTGTTCCGAATACGTACTGTGGACGTGGTATCGCTGTCAGTACAGGAATAATGGTGAGTTTTTAACAAACAACTACAACTACAACAAAACTATTACCAACAATTGCACACAACATAACAAAAAAAAAAAAAAAAAAACCAAAAAAAATCAAGAACAAAGAACTATCATTTATCGATCAATCAACTATTTTCAAATAGTACCTATCGGTTTCAATCTACCGATAAGAATCACTTGTAAATAATTACATAAACTGCATACGAATGTTGCCCGCCCACCCGCTCCACCACAAAAAGCCAGTCGCCACCACTCCTAATCAAAAAAACCAAAAAATAAAAATAAAAACACTAGAATCGTGTTCTTTTCCTAGGAAAATGTACATACATATATACGTCAATTAGTAGTGGAATCACCAGAAAAAGAACTTTAGTTACACGATTGTCCCTGGATTCGGGCACCTTCAAGACTAGCTTTAGATCAGAAGAACAGAAGATCCAATAGAATTGCCAATTGCCGCCGAGTCGCACACAACAGCTATCGAAAGGCAGCTTACGATTGCCATTAGAGATGGGCAAAGGCCGATCAACAGAACAGAACAGAACAGAACAAAAATGGAACTCTGCGACTCTGTTCGTGGTGGATATACTTATAGCCATGCGCTTAGGGCACCATCTGCCTACTATAATAATTATTACACGCCTTTTCAACTTTTCCACTATTCCACTATTAAATATGTCTGTATAATCTTTCGCCTTATCTCTCTCTCTCTCTCTCTCGCTCTCACTGTCTGTACTTCTATCGAATTATGCTTTTGTGTGGCTTACTATCTCTCTCTATCTCCATCTACTATATCTCTACGTATATATTCAACTATATTTCTACCAGTCTGTCTTTCTGCTTTTTTCTTAGACATATTTGATCATGTCGTAGTCGCAGTAAAAGCTATGATACAATAAATTAAATGATAAATAAACCAAATTATGTATTTCAACTCCTAACTTGACTATGAATTGTGATTTATGGTTTCGTCTTTGTTCTCTAGCTAATCGTTACGTACGTTTGTGTGTATGTATCTCTCTCTCTGCCAGACACCTCTAACTGTTGTAATACTACATATAGACATGTGCCACTCAAATCCAACCAAATATCGTATTTATTTAACTTCAACACCATACCATTCCACTCCGAATAGTACCTACATATAATACTTGAAACTAATCCCAAAGCCCAAGCCCAAGCCCAAGCCCCAACATTTAGCATTTAATATTTAACATCTCTGTATCTCTAAATTCTAACAAAAGAATACATACATATATGTATATGCATTTGTCATTTGCCGATCGCACATTAACTTAGTCGAAGGAACATTCGCACTCACTATTCATCCAAAGACAGATCAGATGTATTCATTGATTCATTGATTCATGCAGTCATTCAGTCATCGAGAGAAACCCGATATAACATACAAATTGATTGATGAAAACCGAGGAGAAGTGAAAAGAAAATAAAAGAAAAGAAAAGAAAAGCAAAGCAAAAAAGAAACAAACAGAAACAGAAACATAACCTACATGTTGTAACATCCATAAAAATCTGTGTGTATTTTGCGAGCAACAACAACAAGTTCTGGACTATAACTCGATAAACAAATTCATTTGAATGTATAAACAATGAAACAAGAAAAACTGAATGAAATAACAAACTGACATCAGAGATTGGCTGACATCCAACTCAGACGAGTGCCCCAAATACACACACAAAATATACTCGTACACCATGCTACCATGCCACACCACACCACACCGAACCATGCCACATTCATCCATCCCACAGACGCACTACGGCGACTGAGTTGGGTGTCAATGTCAGTGGAGTGGACGACCAAAACTCACCTTTGACTCAGAGACAATCACAATCAAATCTCAACATATTGTGCATCGTTCTTACAGGGTGCTGGCTGCACGGCGCTGCTCGTGGCCGTCGTATCCCGTAAACTGGAGCTGACCCGTGCCGAGAAGCATGTGCACAACTTCATGATGGACACGCAATTAACCAAAAGGGTATAGATCGTCCTTCAATTTGGAACTCAACCCAATTCAACCCCAACAGTAAACGGAACCCAACCGAAACCCAAAACGAACCTAAACAGAACAGAAATGAGACGGAGACAAGACAACGATAACGACAAGACGAACTGTAGACTGAGGACTGACTCTGGGTTGATCCATTCCAGATACTACTATCACCATATGTAACATATATTCAAACGATTCATTCTAATTTCCTTTGTATACATTTCTTCTTTGAACCAAAATTTAGCTGAAAAATGCTGCGGCGAATGTTCTTCGTGAAACTTGGCTCATTTACAAACATACAAGACTAGTAAAACGGGTTAATCCCGGCCGTGTAAGAACCCACCAAAGAAAGTTCCTTCTAGCTATATATGCGTGAGTATTTTTAGAGATCTATCAACCAACCAAAAACAACCTACCAACAAAAAATCTAACTATCAAACTAAATGTCAGACTGCCACTAAAGATTAAAGCTTAAAAAGATTAACTAAATCGAATATCGAGTACTAATATAGAGTACATATGTATATCCAAAAGATACTATCGAGAGATCAAGAGTACATATATCCGTTTTCAGTGTTGGGGAGGAACGAAACGAAACGATCGATCATCGAAGCAATTTGTGACTCGTCCTTGTTTGTTTTTGTTTGTCTCTGTCACTCTATTTCTGTGTCGCTCCCTCTCCCTCTCTCTCTCTATCTCTCTATGTCTCTCTATGTCTCTCTTCTTGTCCCGTCAATCTTATGGCATACCTCTCATTAGTCCTGCTATATGTAATATGTTTGTCAGATCAATCCAATCCCAGTACCATTACCAGTGCCAGTACCAGTACCAGTACCAGGACCAGTACCAGTACCAGTCCCCGATCCGATTCCCCCCTTAGTCCCACTCCCCACTCCAAACCCAAGTCCCCAGACCACGTTCTCTGTGATACTTCATGCATAAATAAGTAGATTCATACTCTGTTCGAAACCTATTTCATATACTCATCAAAACTGTAGGCAAGCTTTGACGGTTCGCGGAAAGCCTCCATCAGAGTCTGTAATTTGTATATAACGAATAACCAAAACAAATCAAAGAATTAATCAATGTACTAAAACAGTTAACTACCAATTACAACAAAAACTAAAAGTAAATGAAAACCAATAAGATTGAACTCGTTTTACTAGCCTGTAAATAGGTTGTAAAGCCCTGTTTTTACGTTATGCAATAACCGAGACTAGCCACATAATCTAGCATGCAGCGTTAATATTCTAGAATCTCGTATCAAAAACTATCGCAATATCATCAAGCTTCTGCCCAAGTGCCAACAGTGCCACACGTTGCACAGCCATCTGTACAGCTCCTCCTCCAGCATCCAGCATCCATCTAGCAGCAGCAACAGCATAGTGAGCAACATCCCATATGAACACTTACTCTATAACCTCTGTACACTCTGTACTCTGTACTCTGTCCTCCCAGACTCTCTGCTCTCCACTATCCCCATTTATTATCCCCCAATTCTACTTCTCCGAATCATACAACAACATTTGTGACTCGTTGTGACTGCGATCCTTGCGATGATTAAAGGCTCAAGAGATATGATGATATATATATGATATTTTCACGATACGATTTTCTGCAATTTTAGCGCCACAAAAAAAATATGTACGGATTTTGTTTTTTCTATAATCTAATCAAATATCCACCCACAACGGCACATCAAATTTTACACACAAAAGAAAAACAAAAGATAAACAAAAAAAAAAACATAAACTTTTTCAGTGAACTTTATAATGCAGTGCGTTTCAGAACTGTAAGATTGCCGTCTGTAATCCTCATTATTACTAATTTTGGCTCTTTTAAGCAAAAACTATGTGCTTCTTTTTTCTTTTTTTATTCGTTTTTTTTTTATATTTCCATGACTAATCATATATTCTATAGACGACTATCTATGAAAAGTTCTGAAACGTGCTGTAATTGTTGTCCGATTCGAATATATGTATATACGAGTATGTATAAGAGCTCTAGCTCTAAAACTGATATTTCGGCAGGCCGGAACAGAACGATCCCATCGCCGATTCCAAAAACAGGGTCGTGTGTGTGTGCATATCGAAATTGTAAGGCTATAAGGTTGAATCGTTGTAAGGTTGGAAAAGGGATTGCAAAGTAAGACCAAGAAGCAGCCTCCACTCCTACTAAAAAAGCTAACTTCAAATTTACTGCAAATAGATTGAGATTTTAGTGCTTATGTGTTGGGGAGACCACTTTTTGAATGTACTGAAATAATGTAATCTCTATAATGTTGATGACTCTTCCAATGCGATGCAGGTTGCGAAAAGTTAAAATGGATCAGCGCAAACTAATGGATAATGCCAACACAATAACCGATATGGCCAAGGTAGCTAGCAACCAAACATATATGTAAAACCTTATAGAACACATACGAGTATGTGTGTAGACTCGTATTTAGTATGTGCATTTAGATATGCACATATGTATATGCCCGATACCGAAAACGATACCGATACCAATACACGATACCAATGCATTTCACATTCACAGACACAAAATACCGTCTACGAGATAATATCGGACATGTCTAGCCGCCAGGATGCCATCGAGGAACGCCTAACAAATCTAGAGGACAAAATGCAGAACCTACAAGTATGACAAACAATCGAATTGAAAACCCCATTACACAATTGATTGAATGCCACTGATTGCACTTCACACAACCATACCATATGTTTTATATGCACACTCTACGACACGAGTATATATGTATGTATGCTATTATCCCTTCCACAGGAGCACATGGAAAGCCTTCCGGACCTATTGTCTCGTTGTCTTACCCAGCACCAAGAGCGCATCGAGCAACGACGGAACTTTTTACACCCAGACACTGCTGCAGCCCCCATCCAACAGCCAACGCCCCAATCGATGTTCAATGCAGCCCCCATGCTGTTCCCCCACTCAAGGTGAGTTCTTTGCTCCACTCTTTCTCCGTCTCTATCTTTCTTTGTGTCTTTGTCATGTCCATTATCCTCATCCACTCATCCATTCATCTCTTCATCCCCACTCCCATTCCCATCGCCATCCACCATTCCACATCCACCAATCCACACCCCCACCCTCATGGACATGTCTATCATTATAGCGAAACTTGTGCCTGTCATTTCAATTTGTTTTCGTTGTCTGTGAATTGTGCGGGGAAGCGCCTCATGCCATCATCTAGTGCTCATTTGTAAATATATATTATACACATATATTTCCTTGATGTCCACTTGCACACTTGAATCCTCCAAATTACATCCCCGAAACTCTATGATTCCTCCCCCCGAAAAAACCACCATCCTCCTTCTCCATCTTCTATGCAAGATTCATATGATTTACGACTGTGACGCTTCGACTGAGGGACGATGGAGCATGGCAATATAGAGGTGGCAGCGCTCTTTTGCATTCCTATCGATATTCTATCGATGGTATCGCTCTCTTATCGATAAACGGACAGCTACTCAGGGATTTCTTTTGTACATATTCTAAAAACATAGGACTATTCAATCTCATGGCTTTATCGCATATCATAAAAATATATCTTTCTATCCATTGTCATTGATCTTTCATTGATTTCTCATGCATACACACACCGATACACCGATACACCGATCCAACGATACAGATACACACCCATACAGAATCGCCAAAGTTAAATTTGTTTTTCGAAAGCGTACTTTGATAACAACAACGACAATTAACAATCGAATAATGCTTTTTGCATAGAAGTGTTCCCTCATCCAATAACGCCGCTGCTACTTACCATTGGCCAACAAGCCCTATTTTGCCACCTATATCTAGTAGAACACCACATTTAGTGCCTGATACTCACATGCCATCAAATGGATCTGCAGTTAATAGCTACGCATCTTCCAACAAATACGGCAGTTGAATATCAGAGAGAAGAGAGCGCTCCAGTTCCGTGATTAACATCGAGATGCTACCATTAAAGCCCCCATCCCCCAAAACTACGTCAACGTCAATGTCCATGTCAAAACCAAAAGCCATGTCGTCGTCGCCGCCACTGGGCGCTGAGATTGCGCTGAGGCAACGTTTGCATTCGCCGTCGTTATCGCAGTCCCAATCCCAATCGCAGTGGCAGTCGCAGTCGCAGTCACAGTCCGAAACACAGTCACACGCACAGCTGCAATATCGGGGAATATCACAGTCGCTGGAATACCTGTTGCATCGTGTTGGTGAGACCATACCACCGGTCATACCAGAGGATGTTGAATCGCCGACTAATACGAACACGAACAGTAACAGTTCACCGGACCAAAATGTCATAGCGATGTGTACGATGACTGTACCATCATCGAGCTCAGCGCCGGCATTCAGCGGCAAAGCTGCCCCAAGGCCAAAGCAAACCGACGCTAGCGATGGCAGTGGAATTGTGAAATCGATAACGATAACGGACCCACTGACTGCAGCACTGGCGACATCGAAGCCGATGCCGATGCCGATGCCGATGACGATGACGACGACGACGACGAGTGGCACAGCCGCCGCCTCAACAAAGATCACTGAGAATAAGTTTACTAGAAAGAGAGAACGTGTATGCAATAATAGTAGTAATAGTGCTAGGTAATAATAGTAAATAGTAAATAATAGTGGTAATAGTAATATTAGTAATTCTACAAGTCGAATTTCGAAAGTCGGCCTTTTGTAAATAAAGCCTCTTCGGAATGAGAAACAAACAAAACACAAAACTCAAAAGGTAAAACGCTAGCATATGCATACATACAATACATACATAACTATATGTTATATACTTACATGCATATGTCTGTTGATGTACACACACACTCTTATGGATATATATAGCCCTGAAAACAAAAAACATATACATTTACATACATATAGTATATATATATATATACAATGGTGTAACATTTTTTTCCTAAGTTTTAGGCTATAGAAATATTTGTAATTTTCACCTTTGGGGTGTCCCGTGAGACAGCCTGTGTTTTGCAAACTACTAAAATTATATACAAGTATATATGTAAGTATGTATGTCCTGGTAATGCATTGCATAAGTGTGTGTGTGTGTATGTGTGTTTGTGTTTGTGTGTGTTCGAGAGGGGGGTGATGTTCCGGATGGGATGTGATCGGAATCTGTACTGTGGCGAAGCGTGCTTTATCATCCGCAGATCATAATACAATCCCCCAGCAACTCGAGCTCAAAAAGAACCTACTTAAATACAGTCCCTGGAACACTCTTTTACCTCCCAGCAGCACTTCCTGTAAAATCTTTAGTGCAGCACTTGCCTTACAACCATCCTCTGCCTACCCTACCCCCACAAGTCAATGCCTATCCAGAACATGTCCTCCCTTCTGTACGCAGTTTTGTGTGTGGAATATGTAATGCAGAATGTAAATGGAAATTTGAACAGCGACAACTAGAACAATTATATATGTATACAACAACAAGAAGAACCCACTATATGTAAAGCTGTAAAACTTCAGATGTTATAATAACTATCTAATAGAAAGCGCGTTAAAACAGTAACCAAAAACGAACGAAGAACGAAGAGCGAGTAACGATGAACGATGAACGACGAACGATGAACGAAGAAGTGAGGAACAACCCACAAAAAAGTAGTACATACTATTGTACATCTACTAGCGTCTGGCTTTAATTAAACTAACGAAACAAAACAAAACCAATTTAATGGAAACACGTTTGTTGTTGTCTTCTTTTTCTACATATATATCTATATATATCGGTATATACATATACATATATATATACGAGTATATTATTTCGAGTTGTTCGTTGTTTTTTGCCTTTTTCTTTTTTACCAAAAGAAATTATGAACTCAATTAGGAACCTGACTAGCTTTCGAAGGAGTTACTTACGTGACGAGAAGACGTTGATAGTAGCATAGACTAAAGGGAAACCAAAAGAAAAACAAAACAAAAACAAAACCAGAACTAAAACTAAATTTAAAGTAAAGTAAATTAAATGTAAAAGTAAAAGTAAAGTAACCAAATCGATATAAAGATAAAAGAGAAGAGAACAATTTTAATTGAACTTTTGTAACATATTACATTTAGAAATTCACATTAATTTACAAGAAAAACCCTAGCTGGTAAACAGAACAGACTCTAGGCTCCAGAATAGAAACAGACTAGAGAGCAGAGTAGATCGGAAACAGAGAGGTAGGAGATAGGATCTGAATGAGGTGAAGGAGGTGTATGAGGTGTATGAGGTGTAGGAGGAACCCCCCAAACAAAAGATATAGTGTACGAGTAGTCTTAATAGCAGAAGTGGCCGAGCTACGTAAAGATTTTCTAAAGATTCTAAAAGGAATTATATATACTATATATATACATATACATACATACTATTAAAAGTATTAACGGAAAGCATCGAAGTTAGTCGAAATTTAGAGAGAATAAGGTAAAAACTAGCTAAATGCATAACTTCAAACAATGCTTTGTAAGGACTCAACAAACAACAAGGAGGAGCAAACATGATATACATACAACTGAATTCCCCAGATAGTGCCCCAGTCCCAGACCCCGTTCCTAGCCACTGTCCCTGTCCATGCCCCTGCCCCTGCCACATCCTCTAGAACCGAATAGAACCCGTGAAGAACCAGAAAGGGCCAGAAAGGATCAAAATGTCTGTATAATCTATAGACTATATATATAGCCATAGGTGCTGTAGATCCCTTAAGCCAATTAACGTATCGGAGTTTCCCTTCAAAGACATTCCGCCTCCACGACCAACATCCCCACAACAGCCACAGCCCCCGAGACGATCTTTAATTTGGAATTTCCAGGATTTAGGATTTAGACACCAGAAGAAAAGAAAAGCAAAGAAAACCAAAAGTTTATCAACTGTCTGATAGGTGTAACTTACGAGTAATATACAAAAAAAATATCCCCGAGAGATAGATAGAACCAGGAGGAGAACTTCCTAAGAACCCTAAGAAGAGAATCCCCCAGAGGAGTTTCAAAAAGAAGAAGACAAACTAAACAAACGAACTAAACGAACCCTTAACAAAAATGTGTGTATACCTATTTATAATATTGAATATTTAAATTGAAATGAACGTTCAAGACTGCTGTCAAAATAGCTTTATCACAAAATAAATAACAAAGACCTACACGAGACACAGAACAAGAACAGATCACAAATGAAAACAGATCCGAACCGATCGGAAAAGGTCAGAACAAGAACAGTACAGTACAGAACATAACAACAGAGCAAACACCTCACTCAGAACACATACTATCACACGACACTGACACTGACACAGACATTGGCATGGAATACGCCCACGCCCAGCTTTAAAGTTATGTATTGATGCATATTTGGGTTTCAACTCTACAACAACAACAACAACAACTTTAAACGAACAAATATCGATATATGTACGTGTCGATAGGCGATATATCAAATCGAATCAAATCGAATTGAATCGAATAATTGGCACAAGATCAAATTCCCCCTTGAACTGGTTTCCTAAGCCCCACAAAAATATTAAACAAATTAAAACTTAAAAACGAAACAAAACCAAAACCAAAAAAATTTGATATGAGGGACCGAAATTTCAAAGACAGGTCTTTATTATACAAAATACCAAAACCAAAAAAAGCAAAATCAAACAACTAATAGGAATCTCTGCCTAAAAACAGAACCTACAAAAAAAAAAAAAAAACACTCAACAATAACACCAATGGAACATTTAACAGAATCACTTTATAAAAAAAACACGATTTATAGACTCTTTTGAGCTGGAATTGAGTGGCAGTTGCAGTTGCAGACACAGGACACACCACATACTCGATCATGAATGAGCACCACACCATGTGTTTGGCTAAATGTTGTTCCTTTCGGGTGTAGCACTCGTATATGTATGTGCTTGTCCAGTCGCCCCTGTTGCTGTTGCTGTTGCTGTCGTTTGTCCAGTCGCCTGTCCCTGTCCTGGCCCGTGGCCTGTGTGTTGTGTACTTTGTGTGTTGGTTTTTCATATTTTTCTAATACGATTTCTAATTGCATATGCATACATGATGAATAAATCTTGTGTATGTATATATTATTTTCTTCAGCGAATCGTAGAGCTCGTGGGGTACTGCGAAAATCACAAAGTGTTGCACACGCCTGATCCTAGAACCGAACCGAACCGAACCGAACCGAATCGTACCGAAAACTGGAAACAAGTTCTCTCAATCGTACATCGAATACCAGGAATACCAGAATCCCAAACTGAAATAACAATCTTTTGGGTACATTTACACGCTCAGATCAATAGTATACATACATATGTATATAGAGGGTCCCCTGCCACCATCCCTAGATTCCAGTCCCTCACCTTTTCCCACTCTTTCAACTACTATTGTATGTAGAATGAGGTATGGTATGCAAAAAATATATAAGGTTACAAATACATTTACATATACAATAAAGACACACACATACACACCCACACACACACATGAATATATATACATACACATACTTATATACATGTACAGACGGTCTAGAGAGTATATACCCCGAGAGGAACCCGCGACGACACTACAAATAAGATCATATTTGACTTTATATGTATTATAGTAATGTATTCAGTAGCTAAATCGAAAGCCGAAGCAAAGACCAATTTATTAAACGACAAACTAAATGGAAAAAAAAAAATTAAATGAAAACCGAAAAAGAACAATTATTATGTTAAACTAAACAATAAAGAGCATGAGGACGATGTAGAGGATGAAGAGATGAACGCGAAGAAGCAGGCGAAAAGTGAAACAATTTTTTATTAAAAAACAAAAAAGAAAACCTAAAGGAAATGGAAACCTAAACTAGAATGCATTGCATGATTTAAACAAACGAAAACAAAACAGAACAGAGATAAAAAGAAACCGAAACTAAAGTAAATGCAACTAAAGCTAAAACTAACGTCAACTAAAGCTAAACCTTAAACTAGAACTAAGTAAATCTAAATTAAACTTAATTAAATTAGTATAGTTGAAAGGGAAAAGATTTAATTTCTAAAAGAAATGCGTAGGAAGATTTAAAAACCACAAAAAACCAAAAACAAAAAACCCCAATGGAAAAATAGTTTATTTTGAATTAATTGTATTGTATATTTAAATTTAAATGTAAAAAACTAAACCGATACCCGAAACAGAAACCAAACAAATTATATTGTTATATATCTCATCGAGGAACCGTGTTTTGCAAAAGCTTTAATATTTACGGTGCCTACATTTGCTAAATTAGTATTTTACGATTGAAAAACAAAACGAAAATCTACAAAATAAACGAGAAAACAGAAATACAGAAACCACAGACACAAAATAGCATTAACATAGAAAACAGATGATGAAGTTGAGGATGAGGAAGAGAGCCGATTCGAAAACCTAGTCACACAAGAAATAGACAAAAGAAAAGCAGAACACTAGAAAAAGGCAGTTCATAGAACCCGCGTAATGTTTGGTTTGTAAAGTCAAGAATCTAAAGCTAAGGAAAACCCCCAAGCCCCAAACACCAAACCCAAACCCAAAACAAACAAAAATCTAAACACAATTACATAGGAATACCACACAAAAAACAAAAACAAGAACAGAAACCAAACCTAATGCAAATGTATTTGTATTTGAGATATGAATTTTAAGAATGTTTATTAGACTTACGATTTGTTATTTTGTATACATATATATATATATATATAGCATATATGTATATATCATATGTATTATGTATGTAGCATAAACTGATCGGATCTGATGACGATTATAATTGTTTTTTTTTTTTTGCTCATTAAGCATTTACCTTGTAAGAATTCCCACTATTTATAGCAAATTTACCATATTACATTAAATCAATTGATGTACTGTTATAATGTACACTTCTGCCCCTTCCCAAAGAAGATCGAGAATATAAGAACAAGGATATATAAGGAGAATGAGAATGAGGTAAGATCTGTGGGAGAAGTAGGGATAGAAAGAAGAACCCCCCCCCCCCCCATAAAATTGTAAATTATTAATTTAAAACCAAAAAAGATAACAATTGAAATTTTAACAATAATAAAGGGCTTTGTATGAAAGAAAAACCAACAAAAACTGAATAAAAATAAATTAAAAATCTAAAATCAAGCAATTTGTGTAATTTTTTCGTATTGAATTGGAGAGGAGTACTGGAGAGGTTTCTCTGGAAGAAGGAGCCCTCCTAAATGGAAGAAATACAACCATACAAACCAGTAAGTCATCGGAGTCATCGCCATAATCACATGTCCGCTCAGAGGAAAACAGGTAATTTTCATTTCTTTTTTCAAAGGGGTAATAAAATGCAAATTTTGAAATATGACGAGTATCATAGTTTATTATCTGATACGATTCGATTTATACATAGGACAACAAAAACAAAAAAAAAACGGGAAATTTATTAATATATTATATATGTACATGTAAATGATGCTAGCAAGGGATCACTCCGCTTCACACATTTAAGTATATTTGTTTGAAGGGTCTGCCTGTGGCTTTGTGTCGGCATTTGTGATGGCTTCATAGAGGCTGAAAATGGCATACAACTAACACACGGATACTAAACGATAAACCTAATCTCAGATATCGAAGATCTATTCCGGATATCTATACCCTAGGTATTGCTACCACAGAAGTGGCCCAGCTTCTGCCAGAAGGCGCCCAGCTTGGAGGACTGCTTCTTGGTGGCTCGCTGGGCGGCCTTCTCGTTCTTGAAGATCACCCATTGACGTTTCGTTTCGGGATTGGCCGGACCCCACTTATCGCTGGGCCGCAACGAGGCCACAAAGGACTGTAATAGGAAATCGATTAAAACCTGTTCAAGATGGATGATATCCAAATACTCACTTGGCCCAAGCTGCCCTCCCTGTGTTGGGAGATGTACCACATCCACCAGAGTGGGAACTGTGCGGCTCCGATGCCAAACAGCAGCCAGCCAGCCACTAAAGAAATCAAAAGTCATGGATAAGATACTAGAGAAACCAAGACTATTCCAAAGAGTACTCACCATTTCCCGCCTCCGGGAAGAACTGTTCGCTGTAGGTAATGGGCTCAATGGTAACCATGGAGTAGATGAAGATGACGATCATCATGACGGGCGTGAAGAAGGACCAGCAAACTCTCCAGTATAGAGACACCCTTCGGTTGCACATGAACTCCACATCGTCGCAAAAGTTCTGCATACCATAGATCCAGACAATGCCTGCCAACTCGAAAATGGCTAAAATGAAGACCACATAGGTGCCGCCATAGAAGTCTACCAGCGTGAGGATCCACTGTCCACCCTGTTGAAGGATACGAGCAGAAACACAGACTTAGAAAAAATACCATTATTCAGAAAGCTGAATGGGCAGTCACTTACTGGTGTCACATAGACCAGGCCCATAAGGAAGCCGCATATGGAGGTGGCCAGCGCCACTTTCCAGTACTTCCAGCTCTTGAACTGATCGCAAAGGATCGTCACAATGGTGCTCTGCAGGGCCACAATCGATCCGATGCCCAGGACAAACAGCATGAAGAAAAAGAGCACCGAGAAGAGCTGCGGCACTGCCTGGAACTTGGAGATGGCATCCGGATACGAGATGAATGCCAGTCCAGTGCCACTGCGCACCACATCACGGATGTTCTCGATCTGCAGATTGTGGGCCAGATTGCCGAGAATCGCAAAGATCGTAATGCCGCCCAGCAAGCTCGTCAGCGTGTCCAGGGTGGTCACAATCATCGCATCCCTGCCATCGATCGAGAAAATGTTAAAAAACGATCTGACTCCATAGATCGTGGGCACTACTCACCTGTAGATGCCATGATCGAAGCGATTGTAGGAGGCAAACATGATGATCGGCCCCGAGCCGACGGCCAGCGAGAAGAAGCACTGGACGACGGCATTCTTCCACACTGTGGGATTCAAGAGCTCCCCCCATTGCGGCTCCAGGAAGAAGATAATGCCATCCCGTGCACCTTCTAAGGTGACGGCCCTGACCAGCAGGATGAATAGCACCACGTAGGGGAAAAGGGCCAGGAAGTAGGCCGCTTTGCCGGAGCTCTTAACACCGCGCATTATCACAAGGAAGATGACCACCCAGGAGACGAACAGAGCCAGCGTCAGCTTCCAGTCGGGGTCACCAATACCGTCGGATATGTCCATCTTCTCCTTAATCACCACATTCCTGTCGAGACACAGAGAAACATAGGGACTGCATTCAAAGAGAGATTTGTTCGTCACCCAAGGAGAACTTACAAAAAGTAGAGCTCGGAGCTGCTCTGAAGCTTCACTGTGTCCGTCAGTGCGGTGACGTTAGTGACGTTGCTGCTGCTCAAGAGCAGAGCATCCGTGTCCTCCTGCGGCCGCGAGTCGACACAGTTCATCCACTCTTCCCAGCAGTAGGACCAGGGCAGCACCGATTGGAAGGACACAAAGAGATAGTAGAGCGTCAGGGCCAGCAGCGAGGAGTAGTAGGTGATGATGCAGATGGTGGCAAAGGCCTGGCCGTAGCCCACGCCAACAAAGCCGGGGACCACTGACCAGATCTTCACAGTGCCCTGGCTGGTGAACTGTCCCATGATCATTTCCAGATAGTACATGGGCTTGCCTGCAAAGAGATGAAGGATCAAATCAATGATCAGAACTCATACGTGTCTCGTTTCTATTACCAATCAGGAAGAGCACAATGATGTAGGGTATAAGAAAGGCACCGCCACCATTCTCGTACGCCGTGAAGGGGAATCGCCAGACATTGCCCAGCCCCACGGACACCGATATGCAGGACATGAGGAACTCCAGGCCATTGCCCCAATTGGTGCGCTCGGGCTTCTGCTGCTCCGCGTCCACCTTCTGCAAAAGAGATCCAAGATTGGTTGTCAGAGTCCCGCCGTACATGAGTTATACGTTTACGAAAAATTCCAGACACATGACTAAATATTTAGACACTCATTAGCGGTGCATTTTTGACTCGGGTAAATATGTATGATCTGGGAACACATACAGCCCTGCCCACGAACGCGTATCAGCAGTATCCCAACAAAGTTGGTATTTCCAAATCTGAACTCCCAGATAAGCCGCAGGCAAATATGTATCTAAGCTTGTACACGCTCTTAACTACAGACAGATAATGCTATACACCATATATAATTATGTATCATTCATTGTGACATATTTATATTTGTTTCCGTTCATCGTGATAAGATTGGGGGAGGGGCACTAGTATTCTAAAGCGATCGATACTACAAGCCACAATGTTCTCTCCCTGAGATCCATGCACTCATAAAAGATTCCTTAAATTTATTAAGAACTAATATCAAAGTATTTCCTGAAAAGATCCAAGCCCACGATAGTCCAAGGAGCGATGATAGAAGTTGTTCCAAAAATATTCCTACAATTTCAGTGAACTTTGTTTGTGAATATATAGCTGGAAAGGTAGGTATTTTCGTATCGTGAATCATTATAGAATCTAGATCTTAGTTGAAATCATTGTGTGTACAGCCCTCCAATCTTGCAGCGAATGTTTCCTTCAGTCGTTCTGTCCATTTACTCATGCTACATATTATTCTATCCGTTGTAAAAACTGACCACTCCCTTTCATTTAAATGAATGGAAGCAGCTAGTTTTGTTTCATGAATCAGCGAAGCGAAGGGGAATGGGAACGGGAGCTTAGCCAATAGTCATAAGGGCCTTTAAAGCAATTAGGTTTGAATTTGAATGCATTTTGTTCTATAAATATCAATTAACAAATAGGCACTGCACAATGCCAGCCCCCGCCAGCTGTTTTGGGAAGAAAAGATTTGCCTAATTCCCCGGCCGTCCAGAAAAACCCCCGTCGATAAAGTGCTTAAATGGTATTTATATTCATCATAATTTCCATTTCCATTTTGCTAATGCACTAATCGGGAGCCTACCCCGACATTGAGATCCATCGTCCAACACGATAGGGCATCGGACAGATCGAGTTTGCCCGAACAGCTTTCCCAGCAAAAAGTTCACACGTTGACTGGACAGACAATTGGATTCTAGTTAATGACTCACTCTCTGAGTCGGTGTCTCTAAAGCAATTATAATATTCATTGACACAAGTGGAGAGACAGAGAGAACGACAGCGAGAGCAAGAACGAGAACGAGAGCACGAGAATATGGCTGAATGCTATGGGCCCAATAGGGTATATCTATGAAACGCACCTTTCATATGATTTTAAAGCACTCTCGTGTAATGGGTATCATTAATTATAATTGTTACGAGTACATATTTTTTTTACTAATATGATGGAAATCTATTTTCAGCAATACATTTGCACAGCAGCACCAGCTGGGGGGTTCCGGTGGTGTCGCTAGCTGTTTTTTACGGCCCCCAAAACGGGGGTTCGACAGAGAACTGTTGTGCCGCCTTACATATATTTGCTATTCGTACAGAAAAACGGCTGTTTAAATAAAATAATAACTCAGAGAGACACACCGTGCGGGCGGGGGGGGGGGAGACAATGGGCGGCGGGCGGGAAAGGTACGGCGGCAATTACGGAGATAAATGAAAACGAAAACTGCATCATTATAAGGCTGTAGAAACTGTAGAGTCGAAGCCAAAGACCATCTGTTTGCCTATCGACTTTATCTCCGCCAAAGGTGTTACAATCTTGAACTCATTTTGCAATGTTACGAATACCTTACAAAATATATTGTGTTTTTTAAGACCGTAGATTTTTAAAGGCTGTTGAACTTAAGATTTGTTATCTAATGAACATATGTAATGAAAATACATATGTAACCATGAATAAAGATTTTTAAGGTACCTGAATTCTTGACACATTCTGATGGGTGGAATGGGGTTTTGTGGAAACCCCACATTATTCAATATTTAAATGAAAGAAAAGTCCCCCACTTTACAGAACTTGAAACTCTTCTAGCCACTTATTTAGCATTCAGCTGCCGTATTGGGCAATACCGCAGAATACATTCCACTGGGCTGTTCCCCTATTTTCCAGTTTTAGCCAACATTTGATCATTGGTTTAGCACCAGCGTCGTCACAAGTCGGTTCCAGCTAGGGGCTCAGTTTGGTTCGGTACTGTTCTGTTCTGATCTGATCTGATCTGTTCTGTTCTGTCATTGCAGTCATCTCTCGTGTGGAAACGGGTTTCCGCCCCTGCGATGTACCCACTATATGCGCACTTAAACATATAGTAATTATATGTACAATAGTACGAGTAGTACTATCATATATTATTGTATCTGGAAAGTGTGCTGTTAGAGTAGTGCCGGCCGCGCAGTTGAAGGCTGTCTAAGATAAGTTTCGGTTCGGTTCGTTCGTTTCGTTTCGGTTTCAGGGAATTATGGTTTTTCTGGGGCATTCACTATAGGTACTATACGGGTGTACTTATGTACGACTGTGCTGTAATAAACCGTATAAGATATGCATTTAATATCCGCCAGACAAAGTCTTTCCCAGTTCTCCTTAGCTGCCCCCTCCTCTCGCCTGCTCTCCTCAGCTCTCTGCGCTGCCTGCGTGTGCGTTGGGCGGTGGATTGTAAATCGCATTTTCGTTTGTCGGTCGATTAGCCCTGCAATTAAAGACTGACTGACTTAATGATCATAATGACCATAAAGGCATAAAAGCAAAACAACGGTGGAGCCCCGGTGGAACATGACTAAAGGAACCACCAATCCGAACAGCATAACAGCCGTAACACTCTACAGTAGTTATCCTTATTCGCATCCCATCCTTTGGCCAAGATCCGTTGGGTCGGTCACATACTTTCCCACTCAACTATGGCTAACGATTCTGTAATCTGTCGCCTTATGGCGGCCATCCACTTATGCCCGCCACTCCACACTCGAGTGGTGCCCCGGCACTGCACTTGAAACTAATTTCATTAGCTCTTTGCCCCGTGATTGTTTTATGGAGTGTTGCACAAGGGTTTCCACACAGGGGGGGATGGTTCTCAACTTACTTCTGTTGTGGTTTCTAAAGATGCGGCTGCTTCTGCTGTTGCTGGTGCAGTTGGTGGGGCCGATTCTCCCTCTGCTCCTACAGCACCTGTGCCATTGCTGGTACCATTCTGCTGATGAACACCTTTCAGTTCCATTTTGAAACTCCGCTTTGTGGTGGATATGGCCAACGTTTAAACACCTACTCGTTCTTATGACGTTCGCTGTGCACTTGAAACTGTTAATTGTTGCAATTGGTAATTAAACACATTTCATGGGCCAACCGTTCTCAGCCCTTGGCTCTGGTGCTGGTTCTGTTGTTATGGTCACTGGCTTTGGATGGAGTGGTTGTGGTGCCGCGAATGCCACGGCTAGAACTGAGAATGCTCCGAGCGCTTGCCGCTTTAAGAACTGCCAAAGTACAAGCAGCGTTTCGACAGGCAGCGGCGCTCAAAGCCCAGGCGAGCAGCAGCAGAGCCAACAGGTAAAAAGCGTGAAATTATTCACACAGATACCTCACTCACTCACACTACCATTTGCATTCCCATTCCCGTGAGCACATGGCGGGGGAAATACTTTGTGATCGTGTGCTCGTCGTGGCTTCAGATACAAATACATAGATACTCTTCGGGCCGCCCCGATTGTCGCGTGCTAACGTTCCATGGAGTAGAGATGGGGATGGGATGTGTGTTTTGGGGTAGATCTGTTGCGGAAATGATACGAGTTTTCCCAAGCAAATACCATAGCCAGTGCTCACTGTGAGGCGCTACGAATAAAACATCCAAAACTTCGATAAAAACCGAAGAAGGTAAGAGGGTCAATTATAAACCGTTCAAAGGCACTGCAGTAAATACCTCCCCAAAGACGCAGACGTAAACGTCAAGAACATGACAAACGATTTTCGCGTCCAATAGAGATTAAGTACGTTCTCCAGTACCAGTACCAGTACCAGTACCAGTGCCAGTGCCAGTACTAGTACCATTACCCGATGACCACCAGAAAATGAAATATCAAAAGAACTCCAGACATCACTAATTGGTCAATGAATGTTCGGCCACAAACTTTTACGATGCAGTGCGCCTGATCAGCGGTCCTCTAGTTTATTGCGTGGCGATCCATCGATCCATCGATCCATCGTGCCATCGAGGGGAATGCGCATTTTCTTGTTCATGGACTCTGGCTGCTATGACGCCGAGAGCTCTCCACGATACCAAAATTGCAGGTACAATCATTCATCCGTTCTTAGGCAATGTCGATATCGGCACACGGCTATCAGATATAGATGTACGTAGATTGTATGAGTTTTTATTTAAGTTTTTCCATGGAACTGGTGAATCCGTTCGCAACGGATCCGGTATAATCTTTATAAACTCGTACGTACAATACGAGTATGTATGTGACCAGATAATAATATCATAAACATATCGTAATTGGCATCGCTTTTAACCTGGATAAGATATCGGACAATGGCATCCATTGAAAAAAGGCTGACGACTTATCTTTTACAATTCATTTCTGATTTCCCCAATAGGGCAAGTCGATGGGGCTACAAGTTTTTTTACAATATAATCTGGTAGATATGTACACATGCATATCGGTAGTCTTTCAATTGAACTAGCCACATTCAAAGAAAATCCTTTAAGGGAACCTTTTTTTAACGCCTAAGTATTGGATGTGTATCCTCAATCGATCTCCATCTCCCTTATCAATCAGAGCCCATTCCAAAAACCAATCCACAACACACGACTTGATTACTTTTCAATAATATTTTATTTAATGTACTTGCATTATATTTAGTTAATAACTAGATTTGTAAATTATTCTCACTTGAATGCGTCTATAAATTAATTCTTATTCGTATCTCTCGTCGCTCCTCCTCTCAGCATTACTAGATAAGAAAAAAAAAGGGTATAACCGGATATAAATAGGGGAAGCCGAGCCGCACACGCACGTCGATCGTTAGGGGGGGACGAATACGACTCTATCCAAAAATAAGGTTAGCTTTTGGTATTCGCTGGTGTGTGTGCTCTTCAATCACGATGCTCTATCGCTATGTCAGTTTATCAGTTTATCAATCAGTACAGTACATCATTTAATGAGTTTATCAAAAATTGTACAAGTGACAAAATCTACGCTTGAAATCGAAGAAGAAATGACCAAAAGAATGTCTGTAATTTGAATTGAATTTGGAGTGAAAATGAATTCTGTGGAAAACAATAATTTTTCCACAGTAGCACATGGGGGGGGGGGGGGGGGGGGGAGGCGCTCAACAAAGGGGGGACGAACGAACAGTACGAATGAATTATTTTAAATTAGCAAATTAATGTTAATTAATTACACACGAAAGATCTAAAAACAAACAGGAAAAAAATTGTATAATAATAATAATAATAATAAAAATAAGTCATTACGATAATGATAATGATAGAGCAATAATCATAGTAATAATAATTGTTGTATAAACTATCGTAGAAGAAGAATAACACGCCAAGTCTTTAAAATCGCCGCACAGAATCGTAAGAATCCCAATATATAAATGTTGATACAGATATATAGATACAGCAGGATATAGATATAGATATACATATATATATATATATATATACGATCATCACTTGTACGTTTTATTAACTAAATTATTTATTTCTGCCCTTTTTGGCCATTACGATGACGATGACGATAATGAGAACCATGACGACGACTATTAAGCATTTTTATTTTTGTTGTTTTGTTGTTTTAAATATATTTTGTATTTTATATATTGATTTGTTTCTCTCCTCTCTCTTCACTATTTCATTGTATACATTAAAATTTATGTTTTCTCTTTATCGCATCCAAAATAAATATGTATAACATGGGTTTTGTTTTGTTTTGCTTTGTTTTGTGTGTTGTGTGTGTTTGGTGTTATATTATTAATTTTGTGTACTGGGGATCGTTTTAGGTTGGGTTTTTAGGGGGGTGAAGATGGTTTTGGGGGGATCGTGTGTGTTGTGCTGTACTGGGAATAAGACTTCCTAAAGCTTGTTCTGTCTCTGGTCTAAAAAAACACTCAGAATTTGTAACATTTTAAGCGATTTTGTTTTACATTTTAATCCTTGTCAAGTCATTCTATGAATAGTTTGTTTCTTTGTTTTCTTTTGCTTTGTTTTGAATCTTTCTTGCATTCGCAAAATGAATTTCAGAAAGAAAGGCATTTGAGGTTTCACTCTTTTTTTTTAGTTTAGTTCTCTTTTGTGGCAGCACTATTTGCATTTTGTTTGTTTGTTTTTTTTTTATCAACAATTATTGCTTTTTGCTTTCGCTTTTGCTTACGCGTTTGTCTCTCTTGTCTTTGCATTGCATAATTGGCTTTTTTACTAAATTGCTTTTGTTTGTGATTGTATTTACATTATTTTTGCACATGCTGGGCGGTGCGGAGCGGGGAGTGGGAGGAACAACTCTCCTTTCTCCCTTTCCACAGCTCGTCGCTTTCTTCGACTATAATTCTTTCTGATTCTAGTTTTGTGTTTTAGTTTTAGTTTCTGTTTGTTTTTTGTTTTAATTTGTTGACTAACAATGGCACACACGCATATAAATATATTGATTCTGTTAACGAGTTACGATCTTCTCGCTCATAATTTGTTATCTATTTCTTTAGGCATTTTGCGGCGCTTGTTGTGGGGTGTGGGGAGAGGAGGCGGATCGGGAGGGGGTCACAGCAGATTAAGTATTTCGCATTCGACTTGAGCATTCTCTCTATCTCTCCTTAACTCTCTCTCTCTCTCTCTCTCTATTGTTTGCTCGGGGGATGTTTTGTAATTTACTCCTTCAAATTAATATTGTACTCTTAATGGTTCGACTTTTTGTTTAAATATATATGAATAAAAACAACATAATTCATACACATATAAAAACGTATCGGAACGATCAAAAACCGGAGATGATACTAGATATACAATCAATTTTAATATATAATATTCTATATACTACATACTTTCATTTTTTCCTATGCTTATCCGTATGTACAATTACAAATATCTCCTCGCTCGCTATCCCCGAATCTGATTTGCAGCTCGTTTTTCTGACCCTCGGATGAACGACGAACGCTTGATTTGATATTAGTTTTAGAGCTTAGTTTCTTTGTTGTTTGTTTTTGTGTATTTTTGTGTGTTTTCTGCATTTCGTTATTAAATTTATAAAAAGAACTATTTACACTAAATAGTAGACCTACTTACAACTGAATATGGTAATATCTTAAGCGGTTCGTCTGCTTTCACAGCTGCCTCTGCCACGCTGCCTTTCTGTCTCTCTGCTGACTGATTCATTGATGTATTTTGGTGCCTGATTTGATTGATTGTACTCCCTTCTCTGCATAAATCCTACAGCAGTTATGTTAACCGCGATTTGGTGTGCATTTTTTTGTTTGTTTGTTGTGTTGTGTGGTGTGTTTGGTATGCGGGGCAGGCGGCGGCAGTCAAAAACACAATGTGGCGGCAGACAAACGGTGTGTGCCTCTCACATATACATACATATATGTACATATATAATTACACATTCATGAGTGTATGTATATGTGTGTAAGTGTGTTAGTGAGGTGTCTTATACATATATGCGTGTGTGTGTGTGTGTGTGTGTGTGTGTGTGTGTGTATGTATGCGTTTGTGGGAGGGGTTATGTTTGGGGTGTATATGGGGTATATGTATGATTAGAGAGGGCTCTCTTTCTAGGCTCAGTCGCAGTCTACAAATCTTAACTAACGTTTTTTGTTTTGTTTAATGGAGGGTCTGCGGCGCACACTTGTGGCGGCGGCATCTGCATCTCTGCCTTTAGTTCATCCGCAATCCTTAGCAAATTCTTAGCAATATCTTGCCTTCGTTTCGGCCGCCTCCGACGTCGCCAGAAGACTCCTCCAAGCGACTGATTTTTGCTTTTGGACTGGGTATTGACTGTTTTTGCTTTGTTTGTGTTTTGCAGATAGGCGCAGTTGTTGGTACTAGCGTTAGTTGTTCTTCGGTAGGGCTCTTGGTTAGTCACGCATCTCCACCCATTTCGCGAGATTTCTGGCGACCAGTTCCTTATTGAGAAAGATTACATTCTGGGAAAAGTGGAGAAAAAAGCGTTGTGTTGTCTTTAGATGAATTCTCTTATAAAAAAATAAAAAAAACACGGTGCATTCCACAATCACAAAGGCAGTTGAAATGTTTTCCGATAAAATTGCAAAAAGATGTCGATAGAAATGTTCAAAAATGTTTGAAATTATTTTTTAAATTAGGCAAGGTTTGGTTTTCAGATGAATTGAGATGGGAATTATTCCAATATTATGGTATAAAAGTAAGAATCTACAGGAAAACAATTTCTTATGAATGAACTGAATGGCTTAATGCCAGTCACA